CCCTGCAAAATGCTAACCATACCTGTAGGACCTTATACTCTAATTTATAAGCATATCAGATAGCTAAGTCCATGGCTGGATTATATGATAGAGCAAGTAAGCAGGTGTTTAGAGAACCAACAAAGCAGGATTTTTTTTTTTTTTTTTTTTTTTTGGTAAGAAAGGAGCATCTGACCTCAGCATGTGTGTAAGTTTAGTTTTTTAGGCTAATCTTGTTTTTACTTAAATTTAGATATTGGGGCTCACCATATTTTCAGTGTGCCATAAAAATTATGATTAGGCTTTGATAATTTCTCATTTCAATAGTGTTCTTGATTACTTCACAGAGCCTATATGTATGGTCAAGCAGAAAAATTAATTACACCATAACTACAATTATTTAGAACTCCCTAAAAACAAGGATGGCAACCATGGCTATTGCTGACCACTAACCACACACCAGGCACGGTACTGTGTTCTATGCAGATTTTCTCTTTTAATCCCGAATAGAAATTTTATGGGGTAGGACTCTTACTATTCCCATTTTCAGAGATGAGAAACATGAGGTTTTGAACAATTTCCTCAAAGTTATGTGACATATTTTATAGTCATTAAAAATTGTCTTGAAGTAATTTTATGACATGGGAAAATGTTAAATAAGAAAGTAAGATAAAACTAAATATATCTTATGATCCAAAATATTTTACGGAGTCTGTGGGTATATGTGTGTGAATTTGAAGGAAAAAAAACAACTGCATCCAAACACTAACAGCGGTTTTTCTGGATGGTAGAATTATGGGATTTTGGGTTGGGATTTTTTTACTTTTTTTAATTCTATGCAAAATGTTTAAATCTGTTGTAATGAACATGTACCTCTATTCTTATAAGTTTTTATTTTTTTTAAAGATTTATTTATTTGAGAGAGAGTTTGTGTGCCAGTTGGGGGAGGGACAGGAGGAGAGGGAGAGAGAGAAGCCTCAAGCAGTGTCCCTGCTAAGCACAGATCAGACACGGGGCTGGATCCCAGGACCTTAAGATCATGACCTGAGGCAAAATCAAGAATCAGACACCTAACTGACTGAGCCACACAGGCACTCCTATTATGAGGTTTTAAGTAACCACAAGTATTTATATGAAAACTTCTTGGTATGTATGAGAAAGTTGGGTGTTATAGAATATCTAAGTTCTCAGAAGAGCTCAAGTATTTCTCATATATATTTTTCTATTATTCATAGTTATTAACTCACCACGATCCATCCTGGAAAAGGCCGCAGGACCATCCAAGGCCAAGTATCAAGGCAATCCATTACCAGAGAACTCTGAGGAAAAAAAATCTCATAAAGGGGCTTGAGAACTCCTGTCACCATCACATTTTGGTACGTCCTTCTCTCAGGAAGTAAAGACAAAAAGAGGCCGTGACTGTAGTTCATTAAAAAAAAAAAAAAAAATTCTTAAGTTTCAATGTCTGTCTTCCAAAAAATCAAGTACATACCTGCATTGAGAGCTGAACGCTGCCAATCTCATTCTTAAGTCTCATTTTTGAAGCCTGCTTACTTATTCTTTTGGGATATATTTTTCAATAAATTGCTTTTATCCTCATACACCACACAAGGCAAAAAAAAAAAGTTATAACTCGGTATTATATTTTTGACTTAAGTGAGGAAATAAAAATCATCAGATTCCCACCTCACTGGTCCCCCCCACCCACTCCATCCCACCTCGCCAAAGGACTTGGTGTTCCGCTGCAGGCTAAACTTCTTTTTTTGCATTCAATTTACTAAGCACGTGATGCCAATACTGAAGCCCAGGGTTATTTGCCCATCAAAAAATCCTAGCTTTGGAAGTCTGGGAAAGGTGAGGATAACATCTGAATGTTGCTTGGCATTGCACTCGATAGAGAATAAAAAAAATAGTAAAACTCTTTTCCAGTTTCTGACAATGTACTGTAATACCTGTGTCATGGTGAAGAAAGGGGCAGTCTGCCTGAAATGGAAAGCTAACATTGATTTTCCTCAATCTTAAAATGGCTTCATAAGTTGTAGTATCATTCTAGAAGATTCTGGAAACCAAGAAGATTAATTTGTCAGGTGGTAGGAAACAGTGGGAGAAAGTAGAGCAGGTGATACTTGCAATACATTATGTTTGACAAACATGTCACACACAGTGTTTGATAAATGTTTATCAGATGGAGGAAGGCGTACTACCCCAGGGTGGTTCCTGGTGATCTCGCACCCAGTATGGTCCCAGCATGCATTACAAGCCCACTTTCCTACAGTCTACTCACATTCCCTGAGGAAAGGGCTGGTAAATCAAAGGGAAATATTGCAAGTTCCAATAGAGTCAATTAGGTTAAGGCTGGGAAATGGATCCCAAACCTCTTATTAACTCATCCACTGAGGAGTGACAATAGCAAAGGCTGACCCCCTGTGGCAACTAGCGGAACTACACCTCATCATAGGATAATATTTGGGTCAACAAAATACATTTCCAAACCTGGCCAGCATGGCTCTGGTACAGGTAGGGATCCATCAGGATAAAAAAACATAGTTCAGGTCAAAGTATTGTTAATATGAACCCCTTGATATGGTTTACTGTGTGCTTCCTCTCAGAAGCCAAAGGAAATGATTCAAACCATGTGTCAAAATGCAGTTTTTCAGTTTTCAAATCGAAAAGCTCTTCAGAGAAGTAAATTTAGTTTCCACATATATTTGCCAGAATTTTTTATTTCCCTCAGAAAAAAATGAAAGGTACAGTCTAGCTGGTTGGTTTGTTCATTTGCCTTCTAAAATTCTTCCTATGGCCTTGATCATTATATTTAGAAATAATGAAACAGAACTAGATCGTAGCGATCAGAACCTTCCCGGTACAAGGCTATTCTCAGACTCGTCCTCAGACAACGGTGGAAGTGGCCTTCACTCTTTCAGATGCTCGTTCAGGTGGTACTGGGGAAACATTTGGGGCAGCTCTCTGGAGACTAAAAGGGTTAAAGTTTCTAAAAATGCTTAACTTAAATCAGGTGGATATTTAGGTGTCATAAAAATCCAACTTAATTTTTAGAAAGGCTGAAACTTAGAGTATCATGCCTGAATTCTTATACCAAGAGCATTTGTTCCAAAAATACAATTGCTTTAAGAGGTATAAACTCAATTATAAAATAAGCCATGGAGACTCGATGCACAGTACAGGGAGTTTAGTCAATAATATTGGTAATAACTGTGTATGGTGACAGATGGTAACTAGACTGGAAAAAAAAAAAAGGAAATTACCTTTAGGAGATGAAGTCCTTGGGGGACGGTTTGCCATCTCTCATCATCTTTGTTATGAAGTAGATCAAGAACAAGGGAGTGTCACCCACATTGTACACTTGGCCACACATATAAACCAATTCTCTAATCTTATTACTATACAGTACAAAAACAATCCACGTATAAATAAGCATTTGATTTATTTACTCATCTGCATTAGAATCAAATGAGATAAACCTGCAGGGCAACAGGTGATTCCATTTCTGACATCAGAGTAACATTTTTCATGCACGTAACAGAAGTTCTTGTTTCACAGTGCAGCTGCTGTAAGTTAAATTGATTCAATTTAATTAACAATTTTAACAATACTCGGTGCCTACCTGTGAATACAGCACTATACTTACTAGGCATACAAAGGAGGTAAAAGGCATGATCCCTGCTCATAGGGAGCTTCCAATCTGGAGAGGAAAGATGATCCATGCATTACAGGAAACAGTAAGAACTGTTAAAAATCACAGGAAAGTCTGTTTAAATCATAGACTCTGAATTAAAGACAGGAGGGCCCAAGGAAACCTACTGAGGAAAGAGAGATTTGGGAATGGAGGCCAATCTGGAAAACTGGACCAAAGGAAATACCTCTTGAATTTGTATCATGGCAAGTGATGAGCAAATGGATTGGCAGAGGAACAGGAGATCATTTCACAGCCAGATCAAGAGTGAAGAAGGAAAAACTCAAAAACATGGAAACAAAACCCAGCAAGTCAACTGCAGGAAATGGCAGGCAAATTGGCTTAGCTCTGGAAAAGGACGCTGTGGGTGGATGTAACTGAAGTCACACAACAAGCCTGGCTGAGGGCACTGATGGCCGCTCTTCAAAGTCAATTCAAACTTTGAATAAATACTAATGCTTAAACACATCCATAAACTGAGTCCCCCCCATCCCATAAAAGTATACGTTTTCCCAACCTTAACAAAAAAGCAAAGACACATCGTGGATATTAGAATCTAAACTCAGGCAATGTGATCATTGGAGGAGGTCATGATCAGGCTGTGAAGAAGTTGCAATCGTGTACAACTGTCTTAAAAAAAAACAAAACTCACAAAGAGGTAGGTTGTCTACGACCCATGTACTTCCTCAAGCTGAGAGAACTTCAACCCTGTGCTACTTAGGCCTCTATTTCCCTTAGTGTTTTTCTTTTAAAAAGCCCATTCCTTTTCATACTGAACCCACCTGCAAATAAAGAGTCTTGAGTGTACAGTTGTGGGGGCCCTGGAGGGAGAGACAGGAAAAAAAAAATGGAAAACAAGATGCTGGTTTTAAACTGTGAGTTAGTGAATAATTACAATGAATACTTTATAAAAATATTTCTGAACTCTGAAGGGAAAAAAAAGGGTGAAATATCTCTGTTCCAAGGCAAAGAATACTAAGGCAGAAGGAGTCTATAACACAGAAGTCCATATGAGTGAAGTACTTTTAATTAACCCAAATGGTAAACCAGAAACCTGTTTTGCTGAATCACATTCACTCTTAAACTCAGTTTGCTGGAAGTGATGTCAGGGAAACCAGGGGAGAAAGTGCGGGTACAGGAGCAAATCCCTTCATTTGGAACAAGGTGGAGATTGTCCCTGCTGAACTAGGACTGACAAGGCCTTGACTGACCAGCATGACCTTGACAATCCATGAGGGTTGGAACAAGGGAACAGCAACTTCACGATGCTTGTCATCTTGACTTTTACATGAGTCATTGGTTTTAAACAGCAAGGTGAGGAGTACTTCTGGGTCCCAGCGTGTCTATGAAAGTTACTGGCCACCAGCAGCCGCAGCTGTTCAAGAGAAGGAAAGAGAGAGAGAAAAGATGAAGAAGCAAGTGACAATTTAGCTTTCACGGTGCTTAATGTTCTGAAAGAGGTGATCTGAAACCCGTATCTTCCAAATGTGCCCCACACTGCTGTAATATTTAGTATTTTTATATTCAAAATATTTCCATATTTCTTATTTTTCAGGATAGTGAAAATGAGAGTTCTGCTCTTTTTATAAAATTTATTCAGTACTATTTGTATAATTAATATAAAAAGGCACCCTTTTAAAATTTTTCCAGTAAAAGAATTCCTCATCAGCCGGTAGGAATTCAGTCGGTATTTAGCGAATGATGGTTATGTATAAAGTTCCATAGTAAATTCTGAGAAAGCAACTATGAATAAGATAGTCTCTGCCTTTACAAAGGTTGTACACATTTTTAAGTACAAATTATGGGAAAATATCAAATAAATAGCATGTAATAGGATTATATCATTATTTAAAACAATAAAGGTAACAGTAAGCTTTAACTAGAATTCAGATCTTAAAAGTCAGAACTTTTCCTCACTACTCTAAACACTCATTTGCTCATGTTAAGTTATAGTCACAATCTAGAGCAAATACAAGAGCAGAGAGAACATATGTGACATATTTGCTTCCAACTCTAAGATGCCCAAGGGGCTCACTTTGGCTTTAAGGACACACAGAAACCAAGAGTGAAGGGATGGAAAAATATATTCCATGCAAATGGAAACCAGAAGCAGGTGTAGCTACATTTATTTCAGACAAAATACATTTTAAGCCAAAAATGGTAACATGAGACACAGACCATTATTATGTAATAATTACATTATTATGCAATGACATAATATATTACATAATGCTTAATTACATAATAATTACATTATTATGTAATGATTAAAGAAGACACAAATAAATGGAGAGACCACTCATGGTAATGGATTAGAAGAACTAATACTGTGAAAATGCACATACCACCCAAAGCAATCTACAGATTTGGTGCAATCCTTATCAAAATTCCAATGGCATTTTCAAAGAAATAGAAAAAACAATCCTAATATTTGATGGGACCGCAGAAATATCCCAAATAGCCAAAACAATCTTGAGAGACAACAAAGCTGGAGACCTCACACTTCCTGATCTCAAACTATATTGCAAAGCTACAGTAATTAAACAGTACAGTGTTGGCATCAAAACAGACAGTAAGATCACTAAAACAGAATAGAGAAACAGGGAATAAACACACACACATGTGGCCACTTAGTTTTTGGCAAGTACTAAGGATACACAATGAAGAATGGATATTCTCAATAAATAGTGCTGGGAAAACTGGGTATCCACATAAAAAAGAATGAAACTGAACCCTTAAAACATACACAAAAATCAACACAAAATGTAAGACCTTAAACCATAAAACCCCTAGTAGAAAACCTAGGGGAAAAAATCTCCTTGCCCTTGGTCTTGGCAATGATTTTTGTATTTGACACGAAAAACAAAAGCAGCAAAAGTAAACATTAAACTAAAAAGCTTCTGCACAGCAGAGGAAATCATCAATGAAATGAACAAGCAAGCTATGGAATGGGGGAGAATATCTGTAATTTGATAAGGGGTTAATATCCAAAATAGACAAGGAAATGAAACAACTCAACAACATAAAAACCAAATAACCTAATTTAAAATGGGAAAAGGTCCTGAATAAGCATTAATTCAAAGAAGACATACACGGGGTCAATATTTGTACATGAAAAGGTGCTCGAGATCACTACCAGGAAAATGCAAACCAAACCACAATGAGATAGCACCTCACACCATCAGGATGTCTGTTATCAAAAAGGCAAGAGACAATCAATGCTGGCAAGGATGTGGAGAAAAGGGAACCATTGTGCACTGTTGGTGGGAATGTAAAGTGATATAGCCAGTATGGAAAACAGTACCAAAGTTCCTCAAGAAATTAAAAATAGAACTATCCTATGAGCCAGCATCCTACTTCTGGGATATATATCCAGGGGAAATGAAATCATTAATTTGTGTTCCCATGCTCACTGCAGCATGGGAGGATGAAAACAACATAAGAGTCCATCTACAGAGAAATGGATAAAGAAAATGTGATATGCATATAATATCATAATAATATAATAATATTCAGCCTTATAAAAAAGGAAATCCTGCCATTTACAACAATGTGGAAAATAAAATAAGCTAGACAGAGGAAGACAAATATGCATGGTATCACTTATATGTGGAATCTGAAAAAAAAAGAAAAAAAGTCAAACTGATGAAAAAAAAGAAAAAAAGCCAAACACAGAGAGTAGCATGGTGGTAACCAGGAGCTTGGGGTTTGAGGGGAAAGGGAGAGACTGGTAGAAGGGTACAAATTTTCAGTCGTAGGATGAATAAGGTCTGAGACTATTATATGTAACACAGTGAACTACAGTTGATGATACCATATTATATAATTGAAATTAGCTAAGAGAGTAGAACTTAAGTCTTTTCACCAAAAAGAAAAAGGTAAATATGTGAGGTAAGGGATGTGTTAATGAACTCAGTGGTGGGAGTCCTTTCATAATGGATATGCATATCAAAATGCACGTCGTATGCTTAAATATGTATTATAATTTCATTTGTTGAAGCTGGAAAAATTAAATGCAATTAAAGACACAAGTAGCTTAGTAATGAAAAAAAAAAATCTAAGACAAGTGTAATACAAGGACATAGCACTGGAAATTGTTACATCTGCTCCTGTTGCCATAAAGGTCAGCCAATGTGGAAGGAGTAGTGTTGAAAGAACTACAGAGAAATGGGGCTCAGCTCTGCTCACTTCTAAACTTGGGGCAAAACATGGCCTGAAGCCATACATACCACTCTCTTATTCATTTGTGTGGACTAATGAATTTACTTATTTTCTACTTAAATCCATTTGGGTTGGGTTCCATTACTTACATAGGGGGAAAGCCCTGGTAATGGTAAAAGTTTTAAAGTTAAGAATGAGGGGAAAGTTTGAAAAAATTTTCCCTAAACTTCTGCACCCAAAACTATAAGATACCTAGGAATAAATCTAACCAAAGAGACTAAGAATCTATACACAGAAAACTATAAAGTACTCATGAAAGAAATTGAGGAAGACACAAAGAAATGGAAAAATGTTCCATGCTCCTGGATTGGAAGAATAAATATTGTGAAAATGTCTATGCTACCTAAAGCAATCTACACATTTAATGCAATTCCTATCAAAGTACCATCCATTTTTTTCAAAGAAATGGAACAAATAATCCTAAAATTTATATGGAACCAGAAAAGACCTCGAATAGCCAAAGCAATATGGAAAAAGAAAGCCAAAGTTGGTGGCATCACAATTCCGGACTTCAAGCTCTATTACAAAGCTGTCATCATCAAGACAGCATGGTACTGGCACAAAAACAGACACATAGATCAATGGAACAGAATAGAGAGCCCAGAAATAGACCCTCAACTCTATGGTCAACTAATCTTCGACAAAGCAGGAAAGAATGTCCAATGGAAAAAAGACAGCCTCTTCAATAAATGGTGTTGGGAAAATTGGACAGCCACATGCAGAAAAAATGAAATTGGATCATTTCCTTACACCACACACGAAAATAGACTCAAAATGGATGAAGGATCTCAATGTGAGAAAGGAATCCATCAAAATCCTTGAGGAGAACACAGGCAGCAACCTCTTCGACCTCAGCCGCAGCAACATCTTCCTAGGAACATCGCCAAAGGCAAGGGAAGCAAGGGCAAAAATGAACTATTGGGATTTTATCAAGATCAAAAGCTTTTGCACAGCAAAGGAAACAGTTAACAAAACCAAAAGACAACTGACAGAATGGGAGAAGATATTTGCAAATGACATATCGGATAAAGGGCTAGTGTCCAAAATCTATAAAGAACTTAGCAAACTCAACACCCAAAGAACAAATAATCCAATCAAGAAATGGGCAGAAGACATGAACAGACATTTCTGCAAAGAAGACATCCAGATGGCCAACAGACACATGAAAAAGTGCTCCACATCACTCGGCATCAGGGAAATACAAATCAAAACCACAATGAGATATCACCTCACACCAGTCAGAATGGCTAAAATTAACAAGTCAGGAATTGACAGATGCTGGCGAGGATGCGGAGAAAGGGGAACCCTCCTACACTGTTGGTGGGAATGCAAGCTGGTGCAACCACTCTGGAAAACAGCATGGAGGTTCCTCAAAATGTTGAAAATAGAATTACCCTCTGACCCAGCAATTGCACTGCTGGGTATTTACCCTAAAGATACAAACGTAGTGATCCGAAGGGGCACGTGCACCCGAATGTTTATAGCAGCAATGTCTACAATAGCCAAACTATGGAAAGAACCTAGATGTCCATCAACAGACGAATGGATAAAGAAGATGTGGTATATATACACAATGGAATACTATGCAGCCATCCAAAGAAATGAAATCTTGCCATTTGCGACGACGTGGATGGAACTAGAGGGTATCATGCTTAGCGAAATAAGTCAATCGGAGAAAGACAACTATCATATGATCTCCCTGATATGAGGGAGAGGAGATGCAACATGGGGGGTTAAGGGGGTAGGAGAAGAGTAAATGAAAAAAGATGGGGTTGGGAGGGAGACAAACCATAAGTGACTCTTAATCTCACAAAACAAACTGAGGGTTAATGGGGGGAGGGGGGTTGGGGGGGTGAGATTATGGACATGGGGGAGGGTATGTGCTATGGTGAGTGCTGTGAAGTGTGTAAACCTGGCGATTCACAGACCTGTACCCCTGGGGATAAAAATATATGTTTATAAAAAATAAAATAATAAAAAAAAATTTCCCTAAACTTCTTAGACATCACTTTTCCATGAGGAATGCAGAGCGTATAGGGGATCTTGGCAAATAGGTGTATACCTTACTGGGGTGTATTTAAATTAAGGAGGTTACCAAAAAAAGAGATTAATGATTTAGAAAAGACTCCAGGAAATCAACAGTGGTGGGTTCAGAAGAGCCTAATGGTATCTTCCCTGTGTATCCATCTATGTATATAAAGGGTCCCACTGAGAAGGAGAGACCCTGCATTTGTGTCTATTTTTTTATATATAAAAGATTTTATTTTTATTTATTTATTTAAGAGAGAGAATGAGAGCATGAGTCAGGTAGAGGGGAAGGGCAAAGGGAAAAGCAGACTCCCTGCATAGCAGGGATCCCAACACCCGCCCTGATCCCAAGACCCTGAGATTATGACCTAGGCAGAAGGCAGACACTTAGCTGATTGAGCCACTCAGGTGTCCCTTGTGTCTGCTATTTGATTATGACTATATGGATGTCATCTTCATCTTCTGTCAATTTACAAAGTCACCTTTCCATTACTACTGCCAAGTTTACATGTTTGAATTTTCCTTTCTCTTGCCTTTCCCCCACTGGAAAACAACCAAGCCTCCTAGATATGAGGGCTAAGAGGGTCTCAAAAGGTGAACAGTAAAAATTGTGGCATGACTCACTCACGGCCGTAACACCACATGCATCAAATGCCCCATTTAGAGAGAGAGTGGGGACAAAAAGGGAAGAGCATTTTTCTGTAGGGGGAAAATTGCAATCATCAACATTCCTCCAACCTGCTCGGGCAGCTGCCATTTTCTTGTTGCGCAATTTGTTCTCCAAAGCTTGCTATACAATACAAAAAGGAAAGAAGAACATGAGCTTTCCTGGTATTTCCTATACTTGCCATTAATAAAGATAATATGTTAATGAAATAAATTATATCCTACCTGTTTCATCTTCTTTTTTAGATCCAGATTTGCTGCCTTCTGGCCCTTTGCAGTAGCATTGAGGTAATAGATGGTCAAGCTACATTTTTAAAATAATAAGATTTATGGTTATTTTTTAGTTCGAGTCTTCTTAAATTTACATTCACTAAATCATAGAACACTGGGGCACTGGAGTGAACATTAAGATATTTTATACTCTAATCTTTTATTGTACAGATGAAAGACTGAAGTACACAGAAGTAAAGAAGTACATTTGGGACATGATTACTAGGGATGACCTGGGAAGATGGGACCCAAGGGGGTCCTCTTCCACAGCCCGGCATTCTGTCTACCATACTCCGCTGCCTAACTGTAGCTTCTTCTTGGAAATGTACTAGTATCAGTTGAAATCATAATTGAAAGTAACACTTCAAGTTGACATTAATCTCCTGAAGCATAGGGAATGTGTAGAATAAAAAAACTGACTTTCTGTTTTAAATTTCCTCCTTTGGCTTTTATAGCAGAGAATATAATCCTCCTCATCATAGTTCACTAACATGGGTTTTTTTATTTCCACAGAATGTATTGTTTGCATTTCTCCCTTCTTCGAAAAGAAAATGTTTTATAAAGGAATAGTCCTAACTTGTAGTTGACATTTACATTTCTAGAAAGAGCAAATTCCAGCCAAACATTTGTGTAAAAATAAATATGTTCATCTTCATTTAAAGCAAAACAAACAAACAAAATGCAGTTAAAAGAAAAAAAAAGGTAACTGGCATTGCTCTTTGTTGCAAATAGCTAGATACTAAACACATTTCCTCTACTCCCCAACCATGCCAGATTATATCCTTTATGAGCCATCTGGTGCTAGCAACACAATTATTGATATGGTTTAGCTGGGTTTGTTTATCTCTTATATGAGTGATGGGAGTTTGAATGCAATTATGTACATGAAAGCATTTGGTATACTATTTGGCATGAAGTAGGTGCTCAATAAATGTGTGTGTGTGTGTGTGTGTGTGTGTGTGTGTGTATGTTCGTAGAAAAGTACCTGGATTTGGAGGATAAACCCAAAGACCTCACAAGTCACTCATAGTTCTGGAATTCTCTAGTCTCCAAAGGAATGAACCCGGCTACAGAGAAGTAACCTGAAATCTACTCAGTTACCCAAAAACCATCCAAGCTGATGTAATATGATCCATTGGGGAAATTCAAAATGTGTATAACATGTAACATTCTCTAATTAAAAGTAATAAAGAGCCAAGCCAATTGCATGAGCCCCATGAACTGGAAGATGAGGACCTCAGGATTCGAAAAATCAAGTCAGCAATAAACTGAAATTGGGTTTTAAATCAGAACCTCAGAACTATAATCAGCCTTGCAGGACATCTATTTGACCTCGTATCCTGCCAGCTTTTCACTACACAATCTGTACCAAGGGTTGGCAAACTATAGTCTCCGGGGCAGAAATGACTCCCAGCCTGTTCTGCATGGCCTATGAACTAAGAATGGTTTTTACACTTTTACATGGTTATTTAAGTACTTATATAATACCCCCAATTTTGTCGTTTGACCCATCCAACCTAATATATCTAGGATTTGGCCCTTTAGGAAAAAAATGTGCCGACCATGGGTATAGACCATCCCTGCCAAGTGACTTCGAGATCTTGTGTATATTCTGTATTTTCCCATTCATCCCAAACTCAGTGTTTGGTGCTTTAAAGACTTAGGGGGGGATGAGAGATGGGAAATAGGACATGGGTTTGAACTGACTTATTAGTCACTTGATTTGGGGATAGATCTTCCTTGTCATATCAATAATGGGATTGATGAGGCCAACCCTTTCAGGTTATAGTGGAAATTAAATGATTAATGTATAGGTAGTGCCTGGAACACAGGCAACGTTAGTTCTTCTTCCACACTCTCAGACAGCTTGTTAAATCTTCGATCGGTGGCATTAGAACAATGTTGCTCCTTTGCTTAGAAATCAATCTCTCAGTAAGTTAAGACGATAGTCATAAAATCTGACATTAAGTTTTGTTGGGTTTTATTTTTTTAATATAGGATCTCATTTATACCACTAAATGGCCTTGACTTTTAAAAACCAGGTGATCCTTCACGTGGTCCCAGAAGCCACTGTAACATGAAAACTTGGAAAAGAAAAATCACTTCAAGGGCCATCTGGTGAAACAGGCTGCATCCAGCAGGTCAATTTCTAACACGTGTGCACCAGAGACTCACTACCAGATTCTGAATGCCACCCCACCAGCAAGGTTCTCTAAAAAATAACGTAATCTGCTTTACTGTTGAATTATCCCCCTGGGCTATTAGCTCGCCCTCAGAGAAGGGGTCCCACGTAAAGAGGTTGGATTTATTTTCAACCTACTACTACTACTTTGCTATACTATACGCTTTCTTACCTAGGGAAAATCACTTTAATGATGACACCCGTCGTCTCTGATGTGGCCCATGACCATGACCATGACCGACCATCACAAAGACGATGCTAACAACTCGGCCCAGAACCCAATTCATGTACTTCAAATCATTGTCTTCAGAAGATTTCCTAGTTTTACCTTTTTTAAAAACAAATCCCACCCTTTGCATCAGCTTTGTTTTTAAAGTGTTTCTGAGGGTGGTTTCCTACTTGCCTCCCTTGACTGAGAGAATGCAATGGTGGTTTCAGACTTTCTATCTGAGAGGGCTTCAGGGGTTGAAAGGAAGGTCTAGCGCACTTTTTTTTTTTTTTTTTTTAGCTCTTTGACAGTAAGCATATATTTTACCTCAGAATGGTCTGAGGTAAATGACCTCTGTGGTGGTCAAGAGAAGCCAATGAAAGTTACATGGAGACAAAAAACCCCCTCCCAAGTTCCCCTTTGGATACCACCTCTGACTTTCGAAGGGATAGACTAAGTGACCTTTCCAAGACCCTTCTGATTCTCTGATTGTATTACTGTGGACACACACTTACTGATGGCCTTTCAGGGACAAGGACATGGTACTTTCTAGAACCCCTTAAACCCTTAGTCCTAAAATATAGCCAATAGGGCCCCCAGAGGGAATATTAACTCAGAGGCTCATCATTTCTATGTGTTCCCAGCCATCTGCTTTATGGAACAAGATGTGGGGGCCAGGAGACGGGGGGAAGCTCGATGTGCTGATTAGATCTAGCATTTAGCATTTATGTTTCCCTTGCTTTAGCTGTTTACTGATAATTATTTTGGTTACTTGGGAACAAATCTTACAATCCTAGGCAGGCAAAGACAGAGGCAGATGGCTATGAATTACATCCAATAGGATTAGAAAATGGCTCATGAATTTCAACCTCTCACCACCATGTAATTCAGCCCTGAATTTGGGGAGGTTACAGCACAACGTTTAGAGAGCATGGGAAAGCTTTAAAAAAAAAAAAAAAAAGCTGAAATTTACAAGGAGCCATTCTTCATTACAAAGACCCTGTCTATGAGTGGAGAAGCACATACACCATAACCAAAATGATAGCGAGGACCAATCCAGGATTAGAAAGCTGCCTCAAGATCTTCGCCATCCAGCTTGGGAAATCATGCTCCAGTGTTTCTCCAATGACTTCGAACATTCTATTTTTGCCGCTGGGAAAAAAAAGAGGGGCAGGGAAGAGAGGTTTATTTACAACCTAGGTAAAAACCACGATGACAGCAAGAAAACTAGAAATCTTTCTCAAACACCACCTCAGGGCTCTTTCAGGTTGGGAACCTAATGTTTAGCTCCCGCTCTGGGCACTCTGACCTCTTATTGTCAACATGTGGGTGAGGGAGGAGACATGGTATCCCAACAGAAACACACAGTTGAGCAATTAGGAATTTAACCACAGCATTAGGAGAAGGTTTTTTAAAGCTGTATTTCTAAGATTTTGATTGAAATATATTTTATAAATAGCTCATAACTCTACCCCTCAGCCAGCTGTCCTTGTTGGGGAACACTCCCTCTGGGCTGAATAAATAGTGCACTCGATTGTTTAATTAGCCTTGGAAATGAACATAAAGAAGAGCTTAACGGAATAAAGTCCACAAATAATCCAATATCTCTCCCATGCAATAGCTGCTATCTCATTTCCCACAGACTGCTTTCATGGGAGTTGTTAATAGGTAGCCACACTGAATGATGAGCCCTTTCTCTCTCTGCCATTTCTTGAGGACAGGCCCTAATGACTGCAGGCTCAGTCCCACTACAAGGAACAGAAAATGCGAAAAAAAGGAAAATAAGCCTGAAAAGCAGAAGTCCTTAATGGGTTTGTTCTCAGCCCATTAAGGTAAGAATCAAACTTTGTAAGCTAGAAAAATGAGAGCAGGAAGTCTGTCTTATCTTAGTACATAATATTCAGAATTATAAAGTAATGCCCATCATGTCAAGCTATTTTTTCTGTATGTGCATATTGATTCTACTATGAAAGCTGTAATTCTCAGAAAAGATTAGGTTATTTATCGCCAAGTGGTATGTATCTTCAGAATAAAGTTTGGTATTACACTTCTTATTCTGGTTTCACTTTTGTTTTTTGATCTTTATACATTCTCACTGACTAGACAAACATGAACCACAAGTTCCAGATGAGATTTTTTTTTTTTTTTTTTTTTTTTTTTTTTTGCTCATGGTCTAACTAATAATAGCTTTTGAAAGACAGAGTAACCCCAAGTATCTAGTCAACAGTTAGTTACTGAACTACCCGGGTGTAAATTTCGCTTCACAAATTACAAATCTGCACCTAGCAAGACCTGTCTGTATTAAGGAGGAATGTAGCTTGCAGGCCATTCAAGATTATATCAGTTTATTCTGCTAAGATTTCTTTGTCCTCATCCATTCGAACTGGTCATGCTTTTCTCCTAGACATGGGGGATACAGCTCGAGTGTACTCCAGCAAGTGACAGGGGTACACGGATGGCACAAACAGTACACACGCACACGTGCACACACCAGGTGTGCAGGTCCTAAAGTGAAGTGATTAACCAGCACGCCAGTGTCAGGCGGCAGGACACGACTCTCCCCAGGTGAGACGGCTCGAAGTGTGTGGGTCTGTGCTCAGGAGATGCCCCAGCGTGGGCATAAATTCTGTGGGTGGAACTGGGTGAGGAAGGAAAAAAGGCCAGGATGGCCACATCACCTGGAGGCCAGCGGAGAGCTCAGACCTCCGGCTGGAGCTGGTGGGAGGAGCCACAGGCCTCCAGGTGGTCTGCACCCTGGAGTGAAGAGCTAGGCCCCAGCCCCTTCTCTCTGGGTCAGCTGCTCGGAACACAACGGTATCCGGGTGACGCAGTGGGGCAATAGGGTTGGCAGCTATTCCCTGACCGGGCTGACTAACGACCAGCAACTTTGGGTGGGATATTTCTGCTTGCCTAAGAGCCAAATAAGAACAAAGAGGGGAAAGAGAAGAGAGAGAGAGAGAGAGAGAGAGAGAGAGAGATGGAGGATTGGTCTGAGGAACAGGAGTGAAAGGGCCATTTCTAACCCAGGCATGTCTCGATTATGGAACCAAGGCCTTGAAGATCCTCATGAGGCTCTTGCTGGGGGGAGGGCCCAGCATGTGCTGTGAGGAAGGACACAGGCAGGCCCTCCTCAGAAGAGGGTGATAATGGGTTCCTCTCAGGGTTCCTGGCCACCGTGGCTACTGTTTACCTGCATCTCCTTCACCTCAGGTAACACCACACCGTGACTACATGACCTGCTAGGAGAGGAGGGGAGGCTGTGTGCCACCGCCCCAGGCTAAGGGACACTCCCCATT